ACTTCAACCCGATTACAAAAAGAAACCACCAAAAACAAGTAAACATAAGACAATTTAAGATAATCTATGTGACTTTTGCATCATTCATAGAAATCACAATGTAGCTTTCATTTTGACCCAATACTAACCACCACCATGAATACATTTTTCTTGGAATATAATTTCCTCCACATTGCTAGCAGTTTCTTTGAATGGAATAATATTTCTACTTTTCCATATACACCAACATGTTGTTAACCAGATCAGCCCGACTCTTCTTCTACATTCGAATTTCTTCAACAAATGTGTCATGTTCAGAAAATGGTTGCATCAATCATCCATGGTGACATAATCTAACCCCAGCCATTGGTGCACCTTATTCCACACCAACTTTATCATTGGACAATTACAAATTAGGTGCTCAATATCTTCATCTTGTTTGAAACAAAATACACATTATTTATCGTGCTCATTTTGCAGAATTTCTCTCTTACAAGTTGCATCCTTGTAGCTAGTCGGTCATGAAAAAGTCTCCACCCGAAAATCTTTACTTTGGATGGAACATTTGTTTCCCACATTATTTCTAAAGCTTGCTTCAATGATATGTTGGTTAGTCTTGCTTCCTTCCCCTGTACCAGTTTCTGATAACAAGATTTTACTGAGAATAATGTATCTTTATGGTATATACTTCTTTCCTAAGCATGTGGTTGCTTTGGTTAAGTTTTCTAAAGCGTTTGGAGTTAGTGCACGTGCTCAGAATATGGTCGAGGAAATGGTGGTTGTTAAAGATAATGTCAAGGCCAAGTTAGAGGCTACTGGGCAGAAGAATAAAGTAGCTGCTGACAAACGCATGAAAGTCAAAGTTTTTAATGTATGAGACAATGTGATGGTGTTTCTGCACAAAGAGAGATTTTCAGTTGGTAATTACAGCAAGCTGCAGTCATGCAAATATGACCCGTTCAAAGTGGTCCAAAAGATCAATGATAATGCTTATGTGGTAGTTCTTTCGAATGTCATGAATATATCAAATACCTTTAATGTTACTAGCATTCATGAGTATCAAGCAGATGAGACTCTTTATCAAGAAGAGAACCTGGTGTTAAGTTCTTTACGGGTGGAAGAGATTGATGTAGGAAGGCTGGCTGCGCATATCGAAGAATAAATTGCGCTTCGAAAAATATTTTAATATTTAAGTGATTTTTTATTTTAATACTTAAACAATTTTTAGTTTTATTTTTGTTTTGGATTAAAAGTCTCTTAGAGTCTCTTTAATCCCATAATTTTTTTTTGTATTTTCAATAAAATTGAAAGTTTTTTTTTTATCCAGTAGATTCCAAAACTTATCTGACATATTTTATGTATACAATTCTATGATTTCATTCTAAGTTTAATGTTTGCTATTTCCTAATGTTTCCAATTGTGTCACTAATTATACAAGATAAAATTATATGACCTACATAAATTATGTTTGCTGGGTTATTTATGCAAATAATGTGTGGGTTTTTCTACTATTGAGAATTCATGATGTCCCATGTTCGGGTCGATTCTCTCATTTTTTATAGCATTTTTCTCTATTGACATAAGCACTGCTCTATCTAAGTATGGTTCATTGTTCCTAAATAATTTAGGGCATGGGGTTGTTTGACATGAGTCACATTGCACTAAATATGTTTCCCAATGATTGGAGCATGTTGTGTAACCGGAATACAATTGTGATGTATGATATCATAAAGACATAAAGTAAACCATTCATTATTTCATATCAATAAACTTTGCTATGATCAAGACATGGCCACAACAATATTGTACTAGTACACACTACTTTAATATCTTATCCTTCTTATGCAAGCCAACTTCATTTGTTCCTTTCACAAGGACAATAACTCATGGCAATTGCCTCTTAAATTTCAGTTTCAATGTCACATTTTCTTTAGTACAACTTAGATTCATATGCATATGGTTTGGTTTATTATGACAATAGGGTACATCTACAGTACTATGATGCCATTCCGTTTATTCCTTAAATTTAATCCAACTTTGAATAAGGATTGGTTTTAAGAAGAGATTCTTTTTTGAGTTGTTTTCATTTGAAATGCATGCTTGTTTTAACCATTGACATTCCAAGTAGCTTCTGCTTGCACTGACTCTAAGAAAGTTATAGAATCTAATTCGTTCCTTTTGGGAAATGCATCATCTCATGTTGTTGTGTGATGGAAACCATGTCCTTCCTCTCTTTATGAATTTTGTAATTTAGTTTTTACAGATTCATTTGAGGAACAAGAATAAAGTTTTTAAAGAACAAAGCAAATTTGTAATCACATTTTGAGCCATAGTATAATATATTCTGGCCGTTTTAAATTTTTAAAGACTTTATGCAAGTTAGACATAATATAATCATAACTAATAAATACAGATTTTATTTTGTTACAGTTAAATCGTGACAAATATTATATAAATTTTATTAATAATAATTAAACTGTGACAAATTTTAATTCTTGTACAGTAATATAAAACATTTTCCAATGTAATATTTAGATCTGCTTCACATCCCAATGCTATATTCACCCTTAAAAATGGAGAAAGCTCCAAATTATATGACAAGACAAACTCCTAGTGAGAAAGTATTCCATCCAGAATACAAACACATACTAAAAATACATGATTTTTCTAATATTTTAATGTTTCTAATTTTAACTAAATAATTTTAAAAATAATTCTTTGTGATTCATAAAGAATATATATTAATTCCATGAATATATATCATGTAGTAATAAAAGACTATACGTGCCTTTAAGTCAACTCACTTAATAATTATATAAAAATATCAAATGCAACATTCCACTTATTTCATCTAACTAATAAGTTACTTGACCAAAAAAGAAACTGCAAAAATATTTGACATATTATGACACAAGCTTAATCTAGTTATTAATAAAAGATTAATTGAATTAATAAAAAGTTAACTCATATATTAAGATTTCTGGTAATTAAGTTGTCAGAATCCAACTCACATTAATTTTGTATTACCAAAAAATACATTTAACTTCTCTATTTTGCATACTTGAGTGTGGTCACAAAATTCTCTCTCCAAGAACGAACCAAAAAAAGTGACTAATGAAGTGTTAATGTCAAGTGTCAAGTGGGAAAATAAGTGGAGACATAGAATGTTTGTACATAAGAGAAATAAATTTGTTTGCACTTGTTGGAATTTATAGGCAAACACGAAGCTATACTCCAAGTATGTAAGCACAATTATAACAACAAGAATAAGGTCCTAGAGCCATAGAACATAGACAGCGACTTCTCAAAGGTGATAGAAAGAGAAAAAATATATATTAGTGGTGCATGTTGAATTGAAACAATAGCACTCTTTCCTATGACATGAAGTGTCATACATTTTCCTTTCAACCTTGTGAATGAATGAATCACTTCATTCAATTTCATCTTACATGCAATACAACAAACAATAGCACTCTTTTCCATGTTTCTTTTTCTTTTTTGATCAAAGAAAAAGAACAAGATTATCCTCACTTTTACTTTTCAGCCCTCTCTTTAAGACTATTCCATTCATTTACATAAATATATTAAATTAATACTTAAATACCATTTTATTGATAATTGGTTTCTGCTCTAAAGGACACAGAAAGAATAAAGTTGAAAAAAATAAAAGCTTCTTCCATGCAATGGAATATAATTATATATTGATCATTCAAACTCATCATTTATTAATAATCAACCCATCATAACTTTACTTCTTACAATCTCTGCATTTTTCAGGCACATGTTTTGTAATTCCAAGATCTCTTACTACTACTAAAAGAGAGGTTCAATATTGTGTGACACTGTCAACCTGTTGATAGTACATTACACTTTGCTTGGGAAGAGAAACTCATACAATCACATCTATAGTAGATACTACACACACTTGCATTTAATTTATCATTTATCCAACAACCAATCAAAATTAGACACATGTGCTGCTCACAACATGGCATGACAATACATACACTATGATAATGTTAAAAACTACAAGCCTATCCTATTTAGGTTTGTTCCGCAAAAATCGGTAGAGTAGGATGAATACAAATATAAAATTTTGATATATCCTTCAAAAAAAAAAGTACAAATAGAATAGAGTCTGATGGTCCAGATCGATTTTGTCACTCTAAATTAGAGTGATCAAATGTTTTGAGTTGGATCTCACGAGAATCATATCCATAGATATTTTGATGTTTAAGTAATAACGAAAAAAATTATTCATAAATTATTCAATAAATTTAAAAAATCAATTTTAATTATAATAACATGCAATGAAGCTATACAATTGTGAGTCCCACTAGGCACTATATACTGTTGGTTTGACACGGTCTTAGTCACTTTCCATCTTTTTTAATTTTTTCTCTAAATAAAAATATCCATAGCATACTACTATGGTGGAAAGATATGCATTTTGATTCATTGAAAGTGCAATTCCATCACCTCTCATTCAAAGCAATAAAGAAGACTAGTAAAGAGCTACTATACTTTGATTTGATTAAAGCTAAAGGGTATTTTTGTCACAAAAAAGAAAAAAAGAAAGCATCATCAACTTTTACTTTAATTTATTTTCTTAACATAATCTAAACTTTAAATTTCTGTTATCCAACGGCTTTATTTAAAACCAAGACCAAAAAACAAAACAAAAAAAAAGTTGATGATTTAACAATTTTCACAAAACCATTTGTTTCCTTTTTCTTATTCCATAAAGCAAAAATATAGATAACAAAGAAAGTGATATATGTAGCTATATTCATCTTCTTCTTTGTTGTTTGCACTCAAAGCAAAAGATAGTAAAAGAAAGTTAAAGAGAGAAAAAAGGAAAGGTTTAGCTTATTCTCTTCCTTGTATTTCAAGACTCTTTCCCTTTGAACATGTTTGATTCCATTTCCATTTCCATTACTTCAACTTTCACTTTTCTTCTTCCCTTTTTCCAAGTGTTTATAACACTCCTTCATCTTTGCTAAACAAAAACACATTCCAAAATGATTCCATTTACCTTAATACTCTTCACTCTGTTTTCCTCTGTTTTTTCATCTTCCTTGCTCAGTGACTTTCATGCTTTGGTAACACTTAAACAAGGTTTTCAATTCTCAAACCAAGTTCTATACACATGGCAAGGTTCAAATTTCACTTCGGTTTGTTCTTGGGCTGGAATTCAATGCCGCGATAATCGAATCGTGTGGGTCGACTTAACCGATTTGAATCTGTTCGGCTCTGTTTCACCTTCAATCACATCACTTGATAAACTCACACACCTTTCTCTAGCAGGAAACAACTTGACAGGAACCATTGACCTCACAAACTTAACCAATCTTGAGTTTCTAAACATCTCCAACAACATGTTGAGTGGCCAGATGGATCATTGGAACTTGTCCACCATGCAAAACCTACAAGTTCTTGATGTCTATAACAACAATTTCACTTCCTTCCTACCATTAGGCCTTGTTTGTTTGAAACAAAGCCTCAAACACTTGGATCTTGGTGGTAACTTTTTCTTTGGCGAAATCCCGAAAAGCTTTGGAGAATTAGCTTCTCTTGAGTACCTTTCACTAGCTGGAAATGATATCACAGGAAAAATCCCTGGTGAGTTGGGAAATCTAAGTAACTTGATGGAAATTTACTTGGGCTATTTCAACTCCTTTGAAGGTGGAATCCCAGTGGAATTCGGAAAGTTAAGAAATCTTGTTCATATGGATCTTTCAAGCTGTGATTTAGATGGTTCAATACCAAAAGAGTTAGGTGAATTGAAAAAACTCAACACACTTTACTTGCATATAAACCAGCTTTCAGGTTCACTACCAAAACATCTTGCTAACTTAACAAACCTTCTCTACCTCGATCTTTCCAGCAATGCACTCACCGGTGAAATTCCATTTGAGTTCATCAATCTCAACAATCTCAAGCTCTTGAATCTTTTCCTCAACAGGTTACATGGTTCTATACCCGATTACATTGCGGATTTCCCTCATTTAGAAACACTTGGTTTATGGATGAACAACTTCACGGGTGAAATTCCATATAAACTCGGTCTCAATGGGAACATTCAAGTCCTTGATTTGTCTTCTAATAAACTCACCGGTGTTATTCCACCTCACCTTTGTTCTTCAAACCAGCTTAAGATTTTGATTCTTCTTAACAATTTTCTGTTTGGTCCTATACCACAAGGTTTAGGAACATGTTATAGTCTCACTAGAGTGAGATTAGGAGAGAATTACCTTAATGGCAGTATTCCAGATGGTTTTCTTTATCTTCCTAAGCTGAATTTAGCTGAGTTGAAGAACAATTACTTGTCAGGAACATTGTTAGAAAATGGTAACGCTTCGTCTTCTCTTTGTTTACAACAGCTTGATTTGTCAAACAATGCTTTGTCTGGTCCTTTACCACATTCCCTCTCCAATTTCACTTCGCTTCAAATCCTTTCGCTTACTGGAAACCAATTCTCGGGTCCCATTCCGAGTTCCATTGGAGGACTTAACCAGGTTTTGAAACTTGACCTTAGCAGAAACTTGTTATCAGGTGAAATTCCGCCTGAAATTGGAAACTGTCTTCATCTTACCTATCTTGACATGAGCCAGAACAATCTCTCTGGCTCCATTCCGCCCTTGTTTTCTAACATTCGTATTTTGAATTACTTGAACTTGTCTAGAAACCATTTGAACCAAACCATACCAAAGTCAATAGGAACAATGAAAAGCCTCACAGTTGCTGATTTCTCCTTCAACGAATTCTCTGGTAAATTGCCCGAATCAGGCCAATTTTCGTTCTTTAACGCGTCCTCCTTTGCAGGGAATCCTAAACTATGTGGTTCTCTATTGAACAATCCATGTAAATTGACAGGAATCAACTCCACACCAGGAAAAAAAACCAATGCGGATTTCAAGCTCATATTCGCGCTAGGCCTATTGATGTGCTCGTTAGTCTTTGTTATCGCAGCGATTATTAAGGCCAAGTCATTCAAAAAGAATGGTCCTGGTTCTTGGAAGATGACTGCCTTTAAAAAGCTCGAGTTCACTGTTTCGGACATCCTCGAATGCGTGAAAGACGGTAACGTGATCGGAAGAGGAGGTGCAGGGATAGTTTACCATGGAAAAATGCCTAATGGTGTGGAAATAGCAGTAAAAAAGCTACTCGGGTTCGGTGCAAATAGCCATGATCATGGTTTTAGAGCTGAAATTCAAACACTTGGAAACATAAGACACAGAAACATAGTGAGACTACTTGCATTCTGTTCAAACAAAGAAACGAATCTTCTTGTGTATGAATACATGAGAAATGGAAGCTTAGGTGAAGCGTTGCATGGAAAAAAAGGCGCATTCTTGAGTTGGAACTTTCGGTACAAGATATCTATTGATTCTGCTAAAGGACTATGCTACCTTCACCATGATTGTTCTCCATTGATCCTACACAGAGATGTGAAATCTAACAACATTTTGTTGAGTTCCAATTTCGAAGCACATGTTGCTGATTTCGGGCTAGCGAAATTCTTGGTGGATGGCGCTGCATCAGAATGCATGTCTTCGATTGCAGGATCATATGGTTACATTGCACCAGGTAACTTTTCTTTTCTCATATGCCTTTTTTATTTTTTACTATTAGTATTTTCTTTCTATTCATTCGTATTCACGCACCATGTTCAATAGAACCTACGACAACGTGGTTAAAAGTCATGCCCTGCGCTCTACCAGCTGAGTTACTAAGTGCTCTATCAACCGAGCTACTAGAAGAATAAATAAATTTTCTTAACTTTGTGCATGTGATCTAGTATCATTTTAGTAATTCACACAACTTGGGTAATGATAAAAAAAAAAACAATGTGATCATGATTTTAATTATGACAATCCATGATACTAGTATAATTTAGAGTATAGTTGCATAACCATAATGATTAAAAATCTTTAATCATGTTGCTAACACAATGATAAAGTGAGGAATGGCATAGCTGGATTGGGTTGAAAGAATGATGAACAAGTGTTTAAGATGGAATTTTATTGAGAAATGAAAAGAAGAATAGTTTTGGAACACGATAAAATGTTTTTGCAGTGGTGAGAGTGTCTGTGAGACTGAGACACTGACCTTAATTCATTTGGATGGGACCCTCTTAAGAATCCAATATACACAGGTCAATCTGACACTTCATCTCTCCACTCTACCCATTCTTCTTTTGTTTTTTTATTTGCTAGTTGTCATAATTTTGTCTTGGACCAATTTGTATCTTTAGAGTCAACTTTTGTTCTCAAACATTCTTAAAAGAATGTTTCTTTTTATGTTTTTATTACCTTAATTTATGTTTTAAATTATGACTAACAAATAATTTGGTTTGTCTTGATAAATGACAGAATATGCATACACATTAAGAGTGGATGAAAAAAGTGATGTCTATAGTTTTGGAGTAGTTCTACTAGAGTTATTAACCGGTAAAAAACCAGTTGGTGATTTCGGAGAAGGTGTAGATCTTGTACAATGGTGCAAAAAAGCAACAAATGGAAGAAGAGAACAAGTTGTCGACATAATCGATTCAAGGCTCATGGTAGTGCCAAAAGAACAAGCCATGCACATGTTCTTCATTGCAATGTTATGCTTAGAAGAAGACAGTGTTCAAAGACCAACCATGAGAGAAGTTGTTCAGATGCTTTCTGAATTTCCAACACAATCGCAACAAGATCAACAATCTTCTTCTTCATGTTCTTCTAGTATTAATCCACCAAGCAAAAAGTTAATTCAGAATCATAAATTACCTTGTTCTCCTACTTTTAAACATGATCTTTTGGTTTAATTTAATTGAAATCAAGTTTTTTTCTTTCTCTTTTTGAAGTAAATTTTAATGTTCATTATATATATTTTGGCTTTGAGTTTTGTTTAGAATAGAGAGATTTGGTAACTATAAGGGTGTAGGAATGAATAATTACTAAAGGGTGTTCTAGGTAGATAATTAGGTTGGTGAAGCTCAAAATCATAGTGGGTTCATGAACCCTAGCTCTTCACTTGTATTTATTTTTATATCTATGTATAATATAATATATACATGCCAAAGTTGATTATCCTATAAATGTTTTACTTCTTAATTATCCTTAAAAATAAAATTTTACATGCTTTAAGATGATTTTTAAATATAAATCAAATATCTTTTAGGTATAAATTAATATCTCAAATCAAAGAGCACCACAATAAATAACATTTAGAAAATAAAATCTAAGGCAAAAATTGCTCCATCAAAATATTTAAAATTGACTACTAAAACAAATAAAAAAATAATTAAGTTAAAAACTATTTCATAATTAAAATTATTTTCGTTTAATTTGGATGTCAAGAGTGTACATGGATTTAGAAACATTAGTGTTAACCCGAGCCCAATTTTATTTGAAAAAGAGAATTTCTTAATATATTTTTATGGGATGAAATAAATCTCTGAAAATCTCAAAATACTCTTCGAAGATGTATCTCCGAACGCGCTATAAAGAGGTTTTAAAAAATTGGTTCGGAGATGTATCTCTGAAAGTACCCTAAAGATGCGAGAATAGATGTTTCGGATATGTATAACCGAAAGTCTGGACATAATAGTTAACTAAAAACAAAGAATTGTTTGTGGCATTTAAAAAAAAACATCAATGATGGTACGTAATAAACACAAAGATAAACGAACATCAATACATTGTTTAGAAATACCGAAAAATAATACATAAATTGTTCAAAAAATACGGAATGTAAAATGATTACATCAGTAAATAAAAAAAAGGCATAGCCAACTGTGTATGCCTAATCCTAATCCCCTAGCCCTTCCTCTACCTCTTGTATCTCGCCGGACTCGTTGTCTCCCTAACCATCATCTTTATGATGGTCACTGCCTCAAGACTGCCCATCTCAATGATCCATAAGTCCAAAGCCTCATGCCCAAACAACTATATCCGCTGACAGATCGACAAGAGATCAGTAGCAAGATCATCATGAGTCTGCTGGTTCTCCAAGATCTCCTCATGAGATAGCCTAAGTGGACGTCCAGGAGCATCCAATGTCATGATAGGGTGTGACATTGTGTAGAACCTTGTCATGTATTTGTTGGCTGGAAATTTTGACTAAGGAAAAGTTGAGCTGAGTCAATGGTCTGAAAATTATTTGGCTATTTGGTTTGTTGAAAACCATGAAGATTCGAATTCGAAATTGATGGATAGTTTATGAAATTTGAATTGCGAAATAAATTATTATTCGAAGACATGGCTTAAAACGTTATACTTCGACCGTGGCAAGATTTCATTGGTTTTGGCGCTCAAGACGGATAGCAAAGAGTTTTTGAATGCAAATGTTCATTCTTATCCAGAAGGACGCGTGGAATCTCCTGGATTGCCGAAGACATGCTAGCGGAAACGTGGCTGTGATACGGTGGCCAGAACCGGGACGTGGTTTCCCTATTTCCTTAAGGAAATTTGCTGGTTTGCGTTTTGCGTTTGTGTTTGCAAAATATCGCGGTAAGCAAGAGTCGCCACCGACTTTTATTTTATCCAACAAGGAAAGGAAAAAAGCACAGGAAAATTCCTTTTTCGAGATATTTCTGAGTACGGGGGGTAGATTATAGAAAGGGAAGGTATTAGCACCCTTTCTATCTGTAGTTATCTACGGGCTCTTAGGTACTTGCTCATCATTTTCAAAATTGTTTTCTTTGTGTTTATGGGTTTTGAAAAGTTTTTGTTTTGACTTCGATTTAACTCTTGTTTTTGTGTTCAAGAGTGTAATGAAGTGTTTTTGAAAACTTTGTTTGTAAGGGAGTGTAAGTGTGAAAATTTTGTTTTGGATTGAGCAAGTACTTAAGAACTAATCTACCTACTCGAAAAAAGAATTGTTCTATGTTTGTTTCCTTTAGACAATGCTATCCCACTATTAGTGAGTAGGTAGCATCGTCGTTGAAGTTTTGAGGGTCAATTCGAAAGGGACGTATGGCCACTAAAGCCACGTTAGGACATCTTAGTAATAACCCTAATGTCTTAGATCATTTATCCGAGACAACAATATCCGAGGCAACCTTTCCGAGGCAACTTTGATCTTTGGACAAAAGGACGACCACTAAAACATCCTATACTCAATGACCGTTTACCAAAGGCAACCAAGTGGGAGTGTACCCTAGGAGTGAATATGTGCATATGATTTGTTTCAGTTATTTAATCTTTGCACATTTAGGGTGATCTAACTGTTTTAAACTTAACATACATTCTTGTCATGCAAACCCTAATTATTCATACATCTAACAGTTAATAATTTGCGGAATTTAAAATGCGGAAATTAAACTACGCTATTACAAGGCTTCGGGTATTTACATAGCCAAAAACAAACCCTTTTAAATAAAACGATAGTGAAAAGTAAAAGTCCTAATTAAAATTATTACAAACTGTGAGCAGATACAATAATTGGGTAAAAAATAATAATAAAGCACACGATGAAAATTAGATCGACGAGAAACTAGGGTTTTGACCCTCCTAACCAAAAGAAAGAAAAATTGTTTTTTTGTTGTTTTTAATAAAAGAAATAAGTTTTTCTAAATTAAATACAAAAATTAATTAGTGATTAAATTAATTAATAAAAATAATGGCCTATTTTTTGGTTTTGGTTAGTTTTTAGGAAAAAAATATATAATTAAGTTAGTAATAAAACCTATTTGTTCTAATTATTTTTAATTATGTACAAAATAATTAAAATTGTCTAAATTAACAAACCTAACTAAATTAATTAATTTTTTAATAAAAATAAATATTTTAAATTTAATTGGACATAAAAATATTTTTGGTGATTTTTGATAAAAAGAAAATAATTGATTGGTTAGTAAACAAATAAATAAATAATTAAATGAAATAAATATAAAAAGGAGAAAAGAAAATGGGCCTGAAATAATGGGGGGTGCCAATAGTCAGATCTGGGCCCAAATGTGGAGGTCCACGTTTGACCTTGTGGATCCAGTGTTATGCGTTTGACTTGGCTCATGGTGCACCTTCAGATGATGGCCATCAGATTTGGCCATCTGACACTTGGCTGGCTGGATCTGGAGGGAGTATAATAGGCCTTGGATTCATGCATGCATGTGATTTCCTGAAACAAATCAAGAAAAATACAATTGTTGGAGGCAGGGGTCGAACCCCTGACCTCAAGCACTCCCACGCCTTAAACGCTGCCTGGCTACCACTGCACCATTTGTTTTTATTTGTACATAATGTAGGTGTTTAGGTATTGGCTTGCATTTTTGGTAAATCCCAAGTGTATGTGTGAATGTCATGACTGATGTCATAACATTCTAGTTCAGGTTGTACTGACTCATTAGGTACCTTTGCAGAAAAATATTGTAATTGTAATACTGATGTTTATAAGTGTGTATGTGAGCATTTTGCAAAATGATCACATTTTGCTAAATCAGTAGACAGGTTTTCTCAGATGTCATAACAGATGTTATGACATCCTGTTCTGAACTAACAGGATTGCAGGATTGGATAAGTCTGAGTTTTTTCAGGAAATAACTCAGTCCTTCCTGAACAGAATCCTGCGTTTTCTGAGGGGTAACCTAGCTCAACCCTAACCTGGTTAATAAAGTCCTGTGACCTGGTCTTTAGGTCAAACGGAATTAACCCTAGGTTTTTGGAAACCCTAACTGAAGTTGCAGCTGCTATATATTCAACAGAGCTGTTGTTTTTCAAGGATCCCTGCTGATTGATTAGAAGATCAATTTGTAATCTGTATAGATTTGGTCATTGTACTCCAAGCAATTATCATTGTGATAAGTGCCTTGGAATAGGTTTCTATTTGTAAGGGTTGTGTAGCACTCAAAGCTTTGAAGCAAGAGTGTTTGAATGTTCCTTGACTAAAGCTGTGAAGCAGAGTCAAGATAATTGTGTACATCACTCAAAGCTGTGAAGCACGAGTGATTGTGTTGCTTGATTAAAAAGCTGTGAAGCTTAATCAAGTGTGTGTTTTTTTGAAGAGTGTCTTCATCAATTCTTAAGTCAAAATTGGTTTATGTATCACTGCTGTGATTGAGGGGGAGTGAGTAGGAACTCAGGTTTAAGTTGTACTTAGATTAGAATTGCATTGGGTAGGTCTTAAGTGAAGGAGATAAACTGGTTGGTTTATTCCTGAATTAACATCTCTTATAGTGGATTCTCTCCCTGGCTTGGTAGCCCCCAGAGTAGGTGTTGTTGCACACTGAACTGGGTAAACAATTGACTGTGTTCTTTATTGCTTTTATATTTACTGTCATATAGTAAGTCAGATACGGTGTCATAACATTGAACGTGACATTGAGTATCTGCAGCCAGAATTTCAATTGGCATCAGAGCAGGCACCCTGCCTGTATTACTGGGTGAGATCTAGGGATATCACTTTCTGGCACTATGGACAAAGAAGGAGTTTTTGGAAATAGACCACCCATTCTGGATGGAACTAATTATGACTACTGGAAACCTCGTATGATTGCCTTCCTAAAATCTCTGGACAAAAAGGCTTGGAGAGCTGCTGACAAAGGATGGATTCATCCTACCATAACTGAGATAGATGGGACAATCAGTCTGAAGCCTGAGGAAGATTGGAGTAAAGAAGAAGATGAGTTAGCTCTGGGAAATTCAAAAGCTTTAAATGCCTTGTTCAATGGAATTGATAGAAACATCTTCAGACTAGTACATCAATATGAACTGGCCAAGGAAGTTTGGGACACTCTCAAAACTACTCATGAGGGAACTTCCAAAGTAAAAATGTCAAGGCTTCAGATGTTGACCACCAAATTTGAGAATCTAAAAATGATGGAAA